AATCGACCAACGTGATTGATCAGTTCCACGAGATCTGCGACTTGCGTTTAATGTAGAACGGCCTTTGAGTTCCACTTTTGTGAAAATACGGCTAAAACCAGCGGCTGAAACCGTCGTAAAAAATTACAATAGGATGGCCGCTCTCAGGTTTCTCTCTGGTTTTATATATAATGAGCAACAAAGATAAAATATACACGAGTGATGTTTCCGAACGCAGCCTAAGCGATGTATTATACTGTACAATACCAAGGCTGTGTTCAGTTAAGCAAGATGGAACGAACTAATGGAGGAAATGCAGGAAATACAGGAATTGGAACTAATGAATTCCTGTATTTCCTGCATTTCCTACATTAGTTCGTTCCATCTTGCTTAACTGAACACAGCCCAAGTATAATACAATGTAAAATACCTCACGTATAATACGTGCCCAACCCTGGTCTTCGTCCGTTTCGATTCTTTTATCTTATTGAACTCACAAGTCAGTGTATCTAGTTGGCGCTACTTACGGCCGATTTCTTCACATACCTCTCGATAGCTATCCTCTGGATAAATTCCTCTGAGAACCAATAAGGAGAACCAATTTTGGGAGATATCTTCTAGATAAAGTTATCGAAAACTTATCTAGAAGTGAAAAAATTGGCTGTTACTGCTAAAGAGAAAACAACTTCTCTAGCGGCCGATTTCTTCATACCTTTCGATAGCTATCCTCTAGATAAATTCCTCTGAGAACCAACAAGGAAAACCAATTTTGGGAGATATCTTCTAGATAAAGTTATCGAAAACTTATCTAGAAGTGAAAAAATTGGCTGCTATCGAGAGGTATGAAGAAATTGGCCGTAGGTAATTCTTAGATCCTGCAGTTATTCATCGAATTTTTTATCGATGCTCTTTCATGCTCTTTGAGCCACTGTAACATTGATTGATTAATTTTTTATCGGCACTGTACAATGCGCCGAGCATATTGCGATCTACTGTCATACATATGTATGACATATGATATTGCAACACAAACGTACTTAATGTCGGATTTGCGACTTATCTGTACACTTTTCTTCTCATGTTCAGAATTAATTCGAATTATATAAGTCACTTTTTTCGGTTTTTTTAAATAAAACATATTATATATGATACAAAAATATATAAAGACAAAACTACAAAAATTTATAAATATAATTGTTTTTAGTATGTCTACATATAGTTGCAAAATTAAACAAATATATTTTGCTATTATAAAGGAAATGCGCGCAAACATAATTAAAATACAAATATGTTTAATAAGAATTTGGAGGATAGTGTGTGAGTTTCACTTTGACGATTGTTTCTTAAGCCCCTTGCACAATGGACGGAATAGCGATAGCGATAGAAATAACACAGTTTTTAACACAGAATTTCAACTCGTCGGAAATTTTATCGCTATTACTTATTCCGATTTTCTGATCTGCATTGATACATGTGTATTTTTGTATGTTA